CCACACAATACTAGGAATCATGGCCTAACCAAGTTGACACATATTTTTGGGGGACACAATTCAGTCCATGACAGTTACCGATTCTGTCCACCACTATACTTTTATCCCCTCTATCCTCAAATCACCACTAAGGTGATAAGGTAACATTTACAGGTTCCAGGGATTAGGATCTGGATATCTTTGGGGTCATTATTCAGCATAGCACAAATACCATGATAAATCCCACATAATCCCTCAAATTGTAAATTCTCGTTTTCTTGGTAATTATTGTATTTCTTTATTTCATATGAAGTAGGTCATTAACAAGTAGGTAAAAATAGTACTGTATTATCCAGAGAAGAATTTTAGAAACTGTGTCATAAAAGAATGTAATTTGTAGTGCTTGAGTTTAAATTTAATTTGAATTTAAATTAATTTTAAATTATTTAAATGAAACCAATAGTGTTCTTCAGATGTCTCCGGAATTTATCAGGAAATGTAAGATGGGGAGCTTTTCAATTAAAAAGGTATTTTTGATATATTTTTCCAGATGGGAAAGCTGACAGCTATGCCTGCAGGTCTGATATGTGCATCTATAGTTGTCCGTGCAGCCAAAGAAGAGTCCAAAAAGCAGCTAGTGAAACCAGAGCAGGTAATTTGCCTACTGCAGATTTGTGAATTTTGTATGAGATAAAGATAATGAAGAAGCTATGAGTTTGTTTTAGGTGGTGCAGATAGTTAAGTGCTCAACTACTAGCTGAAACGTTGGCAGTTTGAACCCACCCAGAGGCACCTTGGGAGACAGGCCTGGCGATCTGCTTCTGAAGGGTCACAGGCTTGGAAACTCTATGGAGCAGTTCTACTCTGCACACATAGGGTTGCAATGAGTCAGAATCGACTTGACATCAACTAACAACAACATTCATCAGAAATGTTTTTAAAGTATTTGTTAGGCACATTTTGTAAGTTGAGAGAAATGCTAATAAGGTATTTTAAAATAAACACTGTATTATATTTAACTCAAACATCTAAAATTCTAACTCCAGTGGGAAACAGTTGATGATTTTTCTTAATGACTGAAAGACATTTATTAGTTAATCAATAAGTAGTGCAGTGTTTTAGAAATTCTAAGAAGTCTGATTTTTTTTTGTCTTGAAAAACAAATACAGGTACACCTCATATTAGGAAACCTTAGTTGAAGGAAATCATTAAGATCTCAGTTTTGGAAGTGATCCTAATCAAGTGTTTTCTAGTTTAGCCTAGAAAACATGGTACCACAGTCACCTCTACAATATGCACGCTAAGTGGCTATTTATCGTCTATATGAATAAAACTCTAAATAAAGGAATCTAAGCCAGGCCATTATGTTTTCTGACAGCTCTAATTCATCTTAAGGTCCTTCTTTATATCAAACACAAACCTGTCTCTTAATAACTTCTACCCACTGGCCTTGCATCTCTTGCATTGGTGCCATACAGAAAAATTCTCATATCTCTCCCAAAACAACCTTTGAGATATCATTAATATTTCAGTTAACTAATACTTAAAGTAATATGTCCTACATAAGGATATTAGTTGCTTTAACCATTCCATTCCTCATATGTCATAGCTTTGACTTCTTCAGTATCATGATTATTCTCTACTGAACATATTCAGGATGCTTAATGTGTTTTTCTTCAGGTGTAAGTATTTTGACCACTGTAGGATAGACTCAGGCTCTGACTTCCCTTCTTCTAGATATTATATTTCTATTTATGCTGCTCCAAATCACATTTGTTTTATATTTATTTTTATTTTGAGTGCTGTAATCAACCTTGATCATAATCAACTTTTGACAGACTGAACTTGGCAGTTCTCTAAAATTCATTAAATAATTTACATGTGCTGCTTGTTAAGCTATGTCTTCTCTAAATCTTTACTTGTGCATTTGGACTTTTAAAACTCAGTTTCGGTTACATTTATGCTTGTTTAAATTTTATCTTATTGATTTGACCCATCATGCCAACCTGTTGAGATCTAATTTTGCTTACTGTCTTAGTCATCTAGTGCTGCTATAACAGAAATAGCACAAGTGGATGGCTTTAACAAACAGAAGTTTATTTTCTCACAGTCTAGTAGGCCAGAAGTCCAAATTCAGGGCATCAGCTCTAGGGGAAGGCTTTCTGGGTCTGTCAGCTCTGGAGGAAGGTCCTTGTCATCAGTCTTTCCCTGGACTAGGAGCTTCTCCATGCAGGAACCCTGGGTCCAAAGGATGCTCTCTGCTCCCAGTGCTTCTTTCTTGGTGGTATGAGGTGTCTCCCCCCACCCCACCCCCGCTTGCTTCCCTTTCCTTTTATCTCTTGTAAGATAAAATGTGGTGCAGGCCACACCCCAGGGAAACTCCCTTTACATTGGATCAGGGATGTGACCTTAGTAAGTGTGTTACAGTCTCACCCTAATCCTCTTTAACATACAGTTACAATCACAAAATGGAGGGCAGCCACACAATACTAGGAATCATGGCCTAACCAAGTTGACACATATTTTTGGGGGACACAATTCAGTCCATGACAGTTACTGATTCTGTCCACCACTATACTTTTATCCCCTCTATCCTCAAATCACCCCGAAGAAATATCTATATACCATTCATCTACTTAGTAATGTATACTTGATAAAACAGGTCTAGGTCGGAATCCTGTCTCTACCACTAATTAGTTGGGTAACATTGAGGAGAATTCTTAATGGTGGCATAAGTATTCTGTTGTATGAATATACCATTATGAAATATACAATTTCCACAAATTTTTGGAAATTTAGAATTCTTCCAATTATTTTGCTGTTGTAGTCAGTGCTTTAATGAACCACTTTTTACCTAAATCTTTTGTACATCTATAGTTATTTCCTTAGGATAATTTCTAGAATAATTGTAGGTCAGAAGGTACAAAAATATTAATACATTTGCCAGACTAACATGCATAAAGGTGGTATTCATTCATTCATTCAACAAAAATATTTACTGAGTTCCTCTGGTGTGTATGAGACACTATTCTAAGCACTGGATAAAGTTGTATAAATTTTCTTTAGCAGTTTAGGGTAGATTCACTTCCCTAAATACTTGCTGACTCTTGAGTATTCTCTTTCTCTGCCTTCTTTTTATTAATCTTAGAAGGATGTTGTTTTTAAGCCTACCTTGACACACTCCCATATTTGGACAACTCAGAATCAAGATGAGAAGATTAGTAACTATCATTTGGCCTTGATAGCTGAATTTACAAATTTCTGAATTTTAAAATAAAATTAAGCTCTTTACTGTATTGTAGGATACACAGAATTCGTTTTTATTTCTTATATTCCCCAGGACATTTTAAATAGAATATGAGTGAATTGCTTATTCAACGAAGTTGGTTGTGAATTATATGCTAGGAATTATTCACAAGGATATATAAGACAGGATCCATTACTTGAGGAACTTAGACCTTCTGAAGGGATGAAAATGTGATTTAGATGCAACACTTCAAGGAAATTTTATTGTGTAAAGTGAGTTATACATCTGTTTAAAACTATTTACAAAAAAGCCTCTATAAATCAGAACACTTTATGAATGAGATGTTTGGTTAATTGAATCTTCTGGTAAACTTGTGGCTAACCAGAAAATCCTGTTTTTATTTCAACTCTTCTTATTAAACATCTTTTTCAAAAGTATTCATGTTGTTGTTGTTAGGTGCCATCGAGTCAGTTCCAACTCGTAATGACCGTATAGGACAGAGTAGAACTGCCCCATAGGGTTTCCAAGGCTGTAATCTTCAGGGGAACAGATTGCCACATCTTTCTCCCATGGAGCGGCTGGTAAGTTCAAACCACTGACCTTTTGGTTAGCAGCCAAGCACTTAACTGTTGGGCGACCAGGGCTCCTTAAGTATCCATATACTCTAGAAAGCTATGCCAGGCGATAGGGCAATCTTTTTTTTTTTTTTGGTAACCATAAAATTTGCAGTACTCAGATCTGAAATATTACCGGCAATTGGGCTGCATGTATGCCAACAACCACAGACATCCCTGGACGTTTCTTTTTTTAAACACCTCTTTGATTGAGTTTGACTTGTTTTCTTGTAATTTGCTTGTTTTCACCAAGAAATAAGGGAAAAAATATTGATTTAAAAGTTCTAGTTATTTGAGTTCCTTTTAATTTTAAATGTGGTTTTATAGCTTACCAAATCTAATCATAATTCCTAATCAAGTACAAACATGTATTTATGCAGTAAGTGGCCCAGGGTCTCCAATTTATAGTGGCAGTGCTCTTTCTTCAGTGGAGACTATCATAACAGCTTTGTGGCTGATTCTTAAAAAAAAATCTCACGGCAAGGTTGAAATCCTTTTATCATAAACCTTTCAGTTACCCTTGAATGCCCATATTCTAAGAAGGAAAGTGCTTTAAAGCACTGGTTCTTAACCATTTTGACCTCTTTGAGAATCTGATGCTCTTCCTAGAAAAATGCATACATGAAATTTTGCTTACAGTAGACCTCAGATGAAGAACCTTTTCTTTAATCTGTTAATCTCATGTATGTTGTTAGGTTCCATTGAGGCGGTTCCAACTCAAAGCAACCCTATGAACAACAGAATGAGACACTGTCTGGTCCTGTACCATCCTCACAATTTTTGTTACGCTTGAGTCCATTGTTGCAGCCACTGTGTCAATCCATCTTATTGAGGATCTTCCTTTTTCACTGACCCTGTACTTTACCAAACATGATGTCCTTCTCTAGGGACTGGTCTTACCTGATAACATACAAAGTATGTGAGACAAAGTCTCACCATCATTGCTTCCAAGGAGCACTCTGGTTGTACTTCTTCCAAGACAGATTTGTTTGTTCTTTCAGTCCATGGCATATTCGATATTCTTCACCAACACGATAATTCAAAGGCATCAATTCCTCTTCGGTCTTCCTTATTCATTGTCCAGCTTTCACATGCATATGAGGCAATTGAAAATATCATGGTTTTGGTCAGGTGCACTTTAGTTATCAAAATAACATCTTTGCTTTTCAGCACTTCAAAGAGGTCTTTTGCAGCAAATTGGCCCAATGCAACACATCGTTTGATTTCTTGGCTGCTGCTTCCATGGGTGTTGATTGTGGATCCAAGTAAAATGAAATCCTTGACGACTTCAATCTTTTCTCCGTTTATCATGATGTTGCTTATTGGTCCAGTTGTGAGGACTTTTGTTTTCTTTATGGTGAGGTGTAATCCATACTGAAGGCAGTGGTCTTTGATCTTCATCAGTAATTACTTGAAGTCCTCTTTGCTTTCAGCAAGCAAGGTTGTGTCATATCGCAAGTTGTTAGTGAGTCTTCTCCAATCCTTCTTCATACAGTCCAGCTTCTTAGATTATTTGCTCAGCATACAGATTGAATAAGTATGATGAAAAGATACAACCCGGACACACAACTTTCCTGATTTGAAAACACACAGTATCCCCTTGTTCTGTTTGAACAACTGCCTCTTGGTCTATATACAGGTTCTGCATGAGCACAAATAATTGTTCTGGAATTCTCATTCTTCCCAATGTTATCCATAATTTGTTATGGTCCACACAGTCAAATGCCTTTGCATAGTCAATAAAACACAGGTAAACATCTTTCTAGAATTCTCTGCTTTCAGCCAAGATCCATCTGACGTCAGCAGTGATATCCCTTGTTCCCCGTCCTCTTCGTATTCAGCTTGAATTTCCGGCAATTCCCTGTCAATGTACTGCTGCAGCCATTTTCGAATCATCTTCATTAAAATTTTACTTGTGCGTGTGACATTAATGATATTGTTCGATAATTTCTGCATTCTGTTGGATCTCCTTTCTTTGGAATGGACACACATCTGGATCTCTTCCAGTTGATTGGCCAGGTAGCTGTCTTACAAATTCCTTAGCATAGACAAGTGAACACCTCCAGCACTGCATCCGTTTGTTGAAACATCTTAATTGGTATTCCATCAATTCCTGGAGCCTTGTTTATCACCAGTGCCTTCAGTGCAGCTTGACTTCTTCCGTCAGTAATATCGGTTCTTGATCATATGCTAACTCCTGAAATGGTTGAACATCGACCAGTTCTTTTTGGTACAGTGTCTGTGTATTCCTTCTATCTTCTTTTGATACTTCCTGAGTCATTCAATATTTTGTCCATAGAATCCTTCAATATTGCAACTCGAATCTTGAATTTTTTCTTCAGTTCTTTCAGCTTGAGAAATGCTGATCATTTTCTTCTGTTTTGGTTTTCTAATTCCAGGTCTTTGCATTTCATTATAATACTTTGTCTTTTCAAGCCACCCTTTGAAATATTCTATTTAGCTCTTTTACTTCATCATTTCTTCTGTTCACTTTAGCCAGTCTACATTCAAGAGCAAGTTTTGTTTCGTGTTCCCCATATTCCGTGTACCATATCCACCTGTTTTATAGCAGATGACTTCAGAGTAAAACCTGGTTTTATTGGTCATCCCTCTGAGTTTCTGTTTTTACTTAATTTATGGCCTCTGAATATTCTTTATAACCAGCTTACCAGATGATCCCTGCATCTAAGGTGGGTTTAAAAAATATTTTGTCCAGCAGTTTTAGTTGTTTTTAGCAGGAAGGTTGATGAGGATTTCTGTTCTGTCATACTGCTGGAAAAGGAAGTTCATCTATTTTATGTTTTTGACGTGAATTTTTTTTTGTCTCTAGCTCCCCATATATACTGCACCACCTCTTCAATCTAAATATGTTGAAGAACAGCCTGGTCATTTGCAAATGGGCTTTGCTTCCATCCGTACTACAACTGGTCGTTATATTGGCTGGTTCAAGGTAAGTAAATTCTGATGGTGATTTAATATTTGTGTTTTTTTATTTTTTATTACATACCAGTTATTTCAGTTACCTATTGATATGTAACAAACTACCCCAAAATCTAGTGACTTAAAACAGCTGCCATTCTATTATATCTCATGATTTTGTACGTCAGGAATTTGATCTCCCGTTGCATGTCATGTTGACAGAGGTTACTCAGTGGTGTTCAGCTAGTGGATGGGCTGATGTGTAAAGTCCAAGACAGCTTCATTCTCATCTCTGGTACCTTGTCAGGGATGACTGAAAAGACTTGGCTCAGCTGGGATTGTTGACTGGAACACCTACACATGGCCCTCAAGAATGGTGGTCTCAGGTAGTCAGGTATCTTACATGGGCAGTCTAAGACTCCCAGAAAAATGTTCCAAGAGGCCCTAGGCAGAAGTTGCTAATCTTATTCTTACCTATCCTCAGATGTCCAAGAAAATCACTTCCACATCATTGTATTGTCCATTCAAGTCCCTGATGCCAGCCCAGTTTTAAAGGGAAGGGAATTAGATGCCACCTCTTAATGGGAGTAGCAGCAAAGAATTCGTGCCGTATTTAATCTGCTATACCACCACTGCATAGATCAAAGCAGTTGAGCAAGCATGTATATGTTACCTAGCATGTACAAGGCATTGTTTGGCTTTTTACATGAAAGGTTGAGATTACTTCTGAATTGTTCCTTGTTTGGTTAAACAAAATGTTGTTCAGTTGTTGGATTTAACTCATAAGATCATTTTGACTACAGTCAGCTACTGGGCAAAGTAAAATTCATCTGGCTTTACGGTTTAGCCTCAGTCCGCATTATTCAACAGCAGAGTGGTGAAGCAAGCTGATAAACCACTTCATTATCATCACATCAACATAGTTGTGCTAGTATCAATATCACCAATGTCAATGTCAGAATAATAATGTTGGTACCATTGTTTTTATCATTCTAGTCTTATAACCACACAACTTTTCCTCAAATCTAGCCTAACCAATTGTGAATTCCTGTGCTTTTTAATTTTTAATCCATTCTCTTAAAAAAAAATTCTAATGATCTTATGAAAAATAACATCGGCTTAGGTAAAATAACCCGTATGAATTCTGGTCATTCCAGATGCTATTTCAAACTTCTGATGAATACATGATGTTATTTTTGAAAGTGTGTGCTTGTCACACACCTCTTCTAATAGTACTAGTTGTCTTTTAGGTACACAGCACACATTCTTAATAATTTGATCTTGGAAGGAAATAACTAATTAGGGTCTGAATCATGCCCCTGAAGCTATATGTCAACAGCCGGATGATTCATACTTAGGTGTCCTGAGATAAATTGTTGCTGCATCCTTAAATTGCTATTGTAACTATCATCCAATTTAAGACTAAAAAAGTATTTTATTCTGTTAATATGCCAAAACGAGTAAGTTGAAGAAGGGCATTTTTTAATGCATTTTATCTTCAGTGTAAACTATTTTACCTTTCTGATTTTTCTGTAAAAACGTAAGCTATTCTTTAAAAATTACTTCTGACTCAAATTACATTCTGCATTAAACCTAGAATCATGCAGGGCAAATTTAATTCCTATCCCTACACCTTAGTATTTTGAAATTTAGGTAGCAGTGACCCCCAGTGGTAAAAGTGAATTCCTAAACACAGCTAAGGAAAATTCCCCTTAAGAAGTGACTAGCTTTCTTCCTCAATGGTTTAATGAGTTCCAATCAGCTAGTCAATAGGTGGAACCCTGGTGGCACAGTGGTCAAGCATTCAGCTGCTAACCAAAAGGTAGGCAGTTTGAATCCACCAGCTGCTCCTTGGAAACCCTATGGGGCAGTTCTACGCTGTCCTGTTGGATCGCTATGAGTCAAAATCGACTCAAGGGCAACGGGTTTAGGTTTTTACATTTTTTAGTCAATAGGTATTTTCGTTTTGAAGATGAAATTTTCCCAAGAGACAGTTCCTAAAGAGAACTAGCTCAGTGGCAGCAGCTCTGTGCTGGTTTCTACAGCTTTAAACCGGGATGAACAGGATGAACCTCTGCATCTCTGATCAACATTACAATATCGAAGAAGAAATTACTAGTACCAAGATAGCTCAATAGCAAGAACTTCTTTCTTTCCTGTCTAATACAATCATTTATCTTTTCATTGCTTTGAAAATCTCTCGGTCTTGTTTTACCCGCATGGTTTTATAGCAGCTCCTTTGGTAGAGTACAGCATGACTATAGGTAAATCATTTTGTGCCTTTATTTTTCTTCTGATGTACTTGAAATAATACCTATCAATCAATAAATATTTATGGCTATCTTTCTTGCATTAAAAGAAATTAGTATCATGTAAAAGAAAAAATCTGCTTTAAAGGTTTAATCCCTCCAGTGGGTTAATAGGATCTTGGTTTGTAGTAAATTTATGTTACTGTTTAAAAACAGAATGGATACTAGTCTGTGTAGGATGATTCTTATCCTCCGATAAATGTCTTTATTAGATTTTTTCTAATGCTAATACGCACTAAGTAAAAAGAAGATGAAACCCTTTTCTTTAGTTTTTTCCCCTTTACTTTTTCTCACAAATTATGTTGTTGCTCTTGCATCTTTATTAATCAAATGTTTCTTCTGAATTTCTATACCAACTTTCTTGCTTTATTTAAATTTCCTTCATTCTTCTAGGCAATTATAAAATGAGATGATAAATCTTTGTATTTCTGCAGTATTTTTCCTGTGAGTTGCTCTGAGTTTTTTATAGTCATTACTTTTCCTCATTTATATGAAGAAAATAGTAAACAAATATTACCCATGTTAAATAGAATGGAAAGCAAGAAAAGAGAGGCTAAGTATTCTCATAGTGAATAAATAGGAAAGCTGGATTTAGATCTGGTTACAATGCGATGTTATTAATCTCTATTCTTGAAATACTGACAAACTTTTTTTCTAAAAGGTAGACAACCACTATTTACCTATTATTTCATCTATCAAGCAAACTTTTTGATATAATCTCAGAGATGTAGGCTATTATCTAATTATCAACAACTTCACAAATGCAAATGTCATTTTTCCCTTTTTATGCTTAGGGTGTATATGTCTTTGTGAAAAACGGGATAATGGATACCGTACAATTTGGAAAAGGTAGGTGGGTAAATGGTCCATAATTAGAAATGTTACTTTTTTTTTAAGTTGCAAGGTTTAAATGTGAGAAAAATAAAACATGACATGCTATCTATTATCAGGCTTTTGGCAACTCAGAAGATACTGTGTAGCAGTTTGTTAAAAATAATAACAAAGCAATAATAACTACCATTTAGTTAGTGATTAGTTTGTACTAAGGTACTGTGCTTAGCATTTTAATAATTTATCTAATTTTATTTTTGTAGCAATTCTGTGAAAGTTAGTATTATAATTATCCCCATTTTACAAATGAGGAAACTGAGGTTTAGAAACATGAAATAGGTTACCAAGGTCACATAGCTAGTAAGTGGCTAGTGCCTGGACTTAAACCAAGGTCTGCTTTGACAACAAAGTCCATATTATGTATTCATAAAGCATAAATTAAGATGTCTCCATTGCTTTAAATTATTTTAAATAAATGTTATTTGCTGTTAAAATGCATAGTATTTTGCTGTTGATTGCTAGGAAGCAATATGACAGTCATCCTGGAATATTTATGCTAATGTTGGAAAGCATTGTTTTTGACTCTGTAGTTTGTTATATGGTGTTTAGCAACAGATATAGCTTCCTAATATGCCTGGCTTAAGCCAGTTGTCAAAATAAATATGTACTGGGGGACAGAAAGATCAGCTAAAATTTTAGATGTCTCCATGAAGTTAGTGACCTGTACTTGAATTACCATTATTTAATGTATGTAGGAATTAATTCAAAGTTATATCCCTTGTCAGTCTTGAGGAATATAATAAGTGATTGCCATTAAATAAACTGTGATGGAAGAATGTATTTTTGGATTGCATAGAACCAGAAACAATTTAAATATCTAAAAAGCCAAGAAATCTGTATTGCTGCCCATTCTTCATCTCTTTTTATCTAGGCTCACTTATCATCCTGATCATTGGTTTTACCCAAGAGCAACGGCTGCTCTGGGGTAGATTGGGGAGCAGTGGCAAGCAAGGTCTAGTAGCTGAGTATATCCCTAGAATGTTATTCAAAGCTGCCTAATAAAGTATCTATTTAGATTCTTACTGGATCTTACCAATTTTTTAAAAGATAAGGGCAGAAGCATGTGCATCGTAGGGATATAATACGTACACAATCAGGAATTCACCTTATAGTAATCCATATTAAGGTGTGCACTCTAGCATCATATTTCATTAAAGAGTAATGATCACCTGTATCATTAAGAAAACAAATATCAGTAAATCAGCTACTGAAGGAAGATTTCATTTTGTAACAAGTACCTATTGTAATTATCTTTTAAATTACTGCTCATGTCATTATTTTGTATTGCTCTTTTGAAGAATATTTAAGCCATCTACTATGTATTATCTTAGCAAATCCTTTTAACCTTTTTGCATTATACCTATGTATAATGCCCAATTGTGGTAAATCATTTATATTAATTTTGAACTGATTTTTTGAGATGCATATGTTTATCTGAAGAATCCGCCTGGAGATTTTCTTCCCAAAATTGGAGTGATTACAGTTTCAGGATTGGCAGGCTTGGTTTCAGCAAGAAAAGGTAGGGTTTGAAAATATATTCTCCTTTTAATGTCATTATATTAATTTACTGAATTTTACTGCCATGAGGAGACCTCTATCCCTTTATTGAATATTATCGATATAGGCCACCGTAAAAACTTTTAGATTTTATAGTACAGCATGTTTACTTTTGTAAAGACTCTATTTTCAAAAATATGGCTGTTTCAAAAGATGTCCAGCATTATTAGTCATCAGGTAAATGCAAATTAAAACCATTATAAAATATCACTACACAGCTATTAGAATGACTAAAAGTAAAGAGACTGACCATACCGCCTGTAGTCGAGGATGCAGAGCAACTGAAACTCTCATACATTTTTGGTGGCAATGCAGAATGGTACAGCCATTTTTAAAAACAGTTTGGCAGTTTCTCATAAAATTAAAAATACACTTAATATATGACCTAGCAGTCCCACTCCTGGGTATTTATCCTGGAGAAATGAAAAATTTATGTTCCCACAAAAACCTGTACACAAATGTTTAAGTAATTTTTTTCATAATCACCCAAAGCTGGAAGTAACCCAAATGTCCTTCAATGGGTAAGTAGATAAACTGTGGTACATACAATGGAATATTAATGAGCAACAAAAAGGAATGAGCTATTGACATCTGCAACAATTCAGATGAATCTGTTGAAAGAAGCCAGTCTAAAAAAGCTGTATACTGTATAATTCCATTTATCTGATGTTCTCAAGATGACAAAACTGTAGTGACAGAGAGCAAATCAGTGGTTCCCAGGGTTAGGAGTGGGGAGAGGTTGTGCCTACAAAGGGATAGCATGAGGTAGTTTTTTGAGCTAATAGAACTGTTCTGTATTTTGATTGTGGTTGTGGTTACATGACTATACATATATTTTGATTCATAGAACTGTACACCAAAAAAGCCAAATTTACTATATGATAATTTAAAAATACATATAATTGTTCCTATTAAAATTGTTATCTGTCATTTTATTATATTCTAGGAAACATTTTTTAAAAGCTCTTAAGAGTCTCTAGCTACCAAAAAAAAAATATCTTGAGAGTTTTATGTTAATGTAAAAATATATACTAATCACTCAAATTGCTTCTTTTCTTAGTCACGATCACCCATATTCAGAGGGACTATGTTTAAAATTTCAGACAGAGATACTGACATCTCAGAAAAATTTGATTCTCTCTTGGTTTCATCCTGACCAAGGTTGCTGGGACGGACATCAGCCAGCTTGCTCACAGTGGAATTTGAGAAAGTAGACAGCTCAGCTCACTACTTTCATTCAGCATGAAGGCTTGATATGTTTGGTTCCTTTGCCTCTCTTTATACCCTATGTCACTATCAACTTTGCCCTTCCTTCCTACTATGCCACTTGTGGTCTCCAAGACCATCACCAGGTTCATTCATTCGCTAGGAAGACTCACAGTCCTCAGCACATAGTTGTACTTATGGCTAAGATTTATTACAGTAATAGGATACAAAGCAAAATCAGCAAAGGGAAAAGGCACATGGGGCAAAGTCAAGAGGAAACCAGGTGAAAACTTCAAGCGTTCTCTCCCAGTGGACTCACGTAGGACACACTCAATTCCTCAGCAGTGAGCTGTCACAACACGTGTGAAATGTTGTCAACCAGGGAAGCTCTTTAGAAACTTGAGTGCCCAGGGTTTCTATTAGGAGCTGGTCACATAGGTACTGTCTACTTAGCATGCACCAAAAGTTCCAGACTCCCGGAAGAAAAGCAGATGTTCAGCATAAATCATGTTGTTTGTATAAACAGTTTAGTTACAGTGATCCACTGTTATCATTTAGGGAATGTTTTATATCAGTGTAGGGAACTGCTTATCAGTCAAATTTCCAGACACCAGCCAAGGGCCATTCTTGTAAGCAGGCCTTTCTAAGGATGGAAGTCTCAAGCCTGCTATGTTAACTTTTTTCTGTACACTATTAAAAACAACTCTTTCATAAGCACATACTGAATTTTGTATTTGACCGTCTTTCACCTCTGGGCATTGGAAATCCCTCTCAGTAGTCATTACTACCTCCCTTCTTCACCCAAGCCCTTATGAAGCGAGTGTAGTTACCTGGTTAGTAGACATTTCAGTCACCTTCCATCCATTCTCTGTCCACACCCCCGTTTTTAATTGTTACATATGTTTGGAAGACACAACTCTTCACCAGTCTGGAATCTAATATCAGATACGTCATGATTGGTTTACCCAGCTTTAGTCCTCAAAGCAGCCTCAACTCAGGTGCACCTAATTGGATACAAAAACCTCTGTGCAATTAATTATAAGAACATTACAGCATTCTAACTCTAACCTATATATCTTATCCCAATGGACCTAACACTCTCCCTATAGCTAATATTAACACCTCCGTATATCCCGTTTTGAACCCTGGTAGCACAGTGGTTAAGCGTTTGGCTGCTAACCAAAAGGTCAGCAGTTCAAATCCACCAGCCACTCCTTGGAAACCCTGTGGGAGCAGTTCTACTCTGTCCTATAGGGTCACTATGAGTCAGAATTAACTTGACGGCAATGGGTTTGGTTTATATTCCATTTCTTTTTCTAACACTGTGAACAACTTCTAACTTAATACATATTATAAATTATTTGTTAAGAAATAATTGAATGGGAACCATATGTCTGATAAGGGTTTAATATCCAGGATGTATGAAAAACTCCTATAACTTAACAAAAAGACAAACGACCCAATCAAAAAATGGGCAAAGGTATTGAATAGACATTTCACCAAAGAAGATATACAAATAAAAGATGCTCAGCGTCATTATGGGCAAAGATTGAATAGATGTTTCACCAAAGAAGATATACAAATGAGAAGATGCTCGATGTCGTTAGTGATTGTTGTTGTGTGCCGTGGAGTTGATTCCAACACATAGCGGCCTTATAGGACAGAGTAGAACTGCCCCATTGGGTTTCCTAGGCTGAAATCTTTATGGGAGCAGATCACCAGGTCTTTTCTCCTGCAGAGCAGCTGGTGGGTTTGAACTGCTGACCTTTTGGTTAACAGCTGAGCGCTTAACCATCGCACCACCAAGGCTCCTCTTATTAGTCAGTAGAACCAAAAACCAAACCCGTTGCCGTCGAGTCGATTCCGACTTATAGCAACCCTATAGGACAGAGTAGAACTACGCCCAGAGTTTCCAAGGAGTGCCTGATGGATTCGAACTGCTGACCTTTTGATTAGCAGCCATAGCTCTTAACCACTACACCACCAGGGTTTCCTATTAGTCAGTAGGGAGATGCAAATCAAAACTACATTGAGATACCACCTAACCCCTACTAGGATGGCTACAATAAAATAATTAAAAAAAAAACAACAACAGACAACAGGTGTTGATGAGGCTGTAGAGAAATTGGAACCCTTGTCCATTGCTGGTGGGAATACAAAATGGTATAACTACTGTGGAAAACTGTGGGTTTTTTAAATTGTACTTTAGATGAAGGTTTACAGAGCAAATAGTTTCTCATTAAACAGTACACATATTGTTTTATGACAATGGTTAACAACCCCACAACACGTCAACATTGTCCCTTCTCAACCTTGGGTTCCCTATTGCCAGCCTTCCTGTCGCCTCCTGCCTTCTAGTCCTTGTCCCTGGACTGTTGTGCCCCATTAGTCTCGTTTCGTTTTATGGGGCTGTCTAATCTTTGGCTAAACGGTGTACCTTGGGAGTGACTTCATTACTTAGCTAAAAGGGTGTCTGGGGACCATACTCTCAGGGTTTCTCCAGTCTCTGTCAGGCCAGTAGTAAGTCTGGTCTTTTTTTGTTAGTTAGAATTTTGTTCTACATTTTTCTCCCACTCTGTCCGGGACCCTCTGTTGTGATCCCTGTCAGAGCAGTCAGTGGTGGTAGCCGCGCACCATCTAGTTGTACTGGACTCAGTCTGGTGGAGGCTGTGGTAGTTGTGGTCCATTAGTCCTTTGGACTAAATCTTTTCCTTGTATCTTGTTTTCTTCTTTCTCCCTTGCTCCCGAAGTGGTGAGACCAGTGGAATATCTTTGATGGCTGCTCACAGGCTTTTAAGACCCCAAACGCTACTCACCAAGGTAGAATGTAGACCATTTTCTTTATAAACTATGTTATTCCAATTGAGCTAGATGTTCCCCGAGACCATGGTCCCCACAGCCCTCCTCCCAGCAATTCAGTCCCTCAGGGAGTTTGGATATGTCTATGGAGCTTTGTGGAAAAGAGTTTTAACAGTTCCTCAAAAAATTAAATATAGAACTAACTACCATATGACCCAGCAATTGCAATTCTAGCAATATACCAAAAAGACTCTAAAGCAGGAACACAATAGACAATTGTACACCAGTGTTCATTGCAACACTGTTCACAATAGCCAAAAGGTGGAAACAGCCTAAATGTCCCATCAACAAATGAATGGATAAATAAAATGTAGTACATACATACAATGGGATTACATTCCATCAAAAAGACAAATGAAATTCTGATACATGCTACATACAACATAGATGAATCTTGAAAACATTATGCTGAGTAAAATTTAGTCTGTCACAAAAGGAAAATATTGTATGACCCCACTTATATGAAATAGGGCAAATATATAGAGATCAAAGTTTATTAGTGGTTACCAGGGATGAGAGGGAGGGGAAAAGGGGAAGCCTTTGCTTAGGGGGTACTGAGTTTCTGTTAATGGTGGTGGAATAATTTGGAAAAGATAGTGGTGATAGTTGCACAGCATGATAAACATAATTAATGTCACTGAATTGTACATGTAAAAACTGTTGAATTGGCAAGTGTTTTGTTATATATATATTAAATTTCGTTGTAAAAATATAAAGGACACAACGTTTGCCAATTCAACATTATTCATGTGTACATTTAATAAAACCAGTCACATCAATCATTTGAATACATTTTACCACATCAAAACAATAAAAATAAGATAAAGAAATAATTGAAAGCCAGTATCACAATGTGTAAAATAAGACTCACAGAATTAAATTTTGAAGTAAATTGGCCAAAACTTATTATTCAATCTCAGTGAGAAACTCATAGTCCTCCTGTAAAGAGAAAACATTCCTTAGCTCATTCATCATTATCTCAGAATGTTAGAGCTGGAATAATCTAACCCAGTGTTTTTCAAACTGTATCTCAACCTATTATTAGGTAGTGAAATAAATATTGTGGATCTCAGGAAGCATTTTATTTAAAAAAATAAAATAGAGAAGAGCAAATATCAGTGTGTTTTATATTTAGTATGGCTAAATATTTTGCAGCTTGTTTCAGTGAAGTGTGTGTGTGTGTATGATAGATCATAGGTCATAATGTAAAATTTGTTCTTTATAATGAGTTATGATAAAAAAAAAAGTTTGAAAGCTGTTGGTTTATTCTAACTCTCTTATGTTACAAATAGAAGTCCAGAGAAATGAAACCACTCAGTGAATAGTACATAGATAGTTAATGGCTGTGTCTAGAGTCCGCCCCAAATTTCCGGAGTAGGGCTGTTGAATCCAAATGAAATGTATTTTTTGTAGATTGGCCTCTTCTATGAAGTAAAGAGAGGATGAACGTAAGTCTTTTTAACCTCTAAAATGATACATGAAGGAAAAACTGCCACCTTCCAAGTTTAGGAGTAGCACTATTAGGGGAATTTGGCTGAATCAAGGTAACCTACAGCAAGAGATGTTAGGACAGTAAAATCAAGAACAAAACTACACTCTTAGATCCTGGAATAATAGTAAACAGAAGTGGAGTAACGGAGCAACTTACAACATGTCTTTATATACCTAGACCCTCTTTCACACAGTACCACTAAAACCAGTATAAAGGAAAGCTGAACTAGAGGTTGGAGCAGCCCACCTATTCAGTCTGCCAGGCAGGGTTCAATCCTGAGCTTTCCACTCCCAGTTTAACCAGAGCAGCTTCAAGTTTATAGATTTTATATACTGAAGTTCCTAGTGAAATTCTATTTGGAAGGATTGTTTTGAACAGAATTTTGCTGTCAAAAAAAAGTTGGAAAATAACTCTTAAATACTTAGTTAAGACACTTTTGGAAATACATTAATCATCTCACTTTAGAATGATAAATTATTCATTATTCTAAATCAGTGACATGAAGGAGTTATGTACCTTTTAAAGTCCTTAGCAGATTAGTTAGTTGAGTATTTCACCTTCCTAAGGACATAATCAAAAAAGGATATATAAAAAAGAGTCCATTTCATTTTAATATGGTGTCACAAACATAATAGTTGATTAATTCTCTCTCTTTTCATGCTTTATTAGATATTTGAAAAAAATGTGGTTACAACGTTGTGTTTCTTTGGACATGAAAATATACCTAGCTTTTAAAAAAGAAGAAAATTGGCAAACCTTTTTATGTAGGTAATTATCAGTGTTAGATTGAGAACAGTTTTCTTAAATTGGACATGACAGCAAAGGGTATTAATTAAATAGAGACCCTCAAGGATGTTTTAGCTACTGTCTTAATCAGTATTGTTACCTAAAGAACAATTTAACATAGGGTGATGACTTGAAGGGGATAAAGAGAACATTAAGGTTATAAAAGCATCAAGTCTCTGGTTGCATGTGTTTGGAGTTTAATGATTTGCTTGAATTTTATAGGTTCTAGATTTAAGAAAATTGCTTATCCACTGGGACTAGCCACTTTAGGAGCAACTGTTTGCTACCCAGTTCAGTCAGTAATCATTGCAAAGGTAAGTTCTTTTTAAATGATGGCAACATTTCAGTATTTGTTTAGACAATATTTGTTTAAAGTGTGACAGTATTTAAATGTTACATGGCACCTATAACATTTAATTTTCAGAGAGATATAGTTTGTATCGACTCTTATGTTGGCAAAATCACATTAGCATCTCAGCGTGGTAAATGCTATTCTTAATTACATGACTGTCACAAATAAATAGGATGAATTTATTGAAATATAATTGAGCAATATAAATGCTGGTTTGGGGATGAAGTTCAGAGACACTGAATTAGAATTTATGGGAAGAAATATTACTTTATTGTTGAGGTATGTAATATTCAACTTTTAATTAATTGAAAATTACACCTGCTGGCAGCTGTTCAGTTCAGCAGATTAACATAATGCAAGAAACAACCAATTGCTAGACAATAGAGGCTTCAGAAGCTAAAAAAAGGTACACGTATACAAACTCAATTTTGAAACCACCTACAACTAAGAAACCCCTTCCGTAAATGCTTATAGCTTGTGAGCTCATCTACAAATCAGAACATTCCCCTAATGTGAACAATTTGTGTCAGTATTTTAATGTATTTCATTTCTGTAGCACGTTTGGATTGAGAAAGAGAACTTTGGGAAATGCAGTCTTTTCTTGTTTTCCTTCTTCCCTTAATTGCTGACATTTTCCCTTCACATTTGAAGTAGTGTGTAGTATTATCAGAAGGACTTTCTGTACTTATATTCTCATTACTGCATCTCTTTAATTATTGATGTAGACAAAACTGCCTATTCAGTATTTTGAGAATGTCAAGGATATAATGCATATGTAGTTTGTAATGTGATCAAGCTATAAAAGCTGATAGCAAAGGAATAGTTAAGATAATTCATGGGAAAAAGGATAAACTTATTTTTTTAAAACTTTCCTAAGAATTACATATAATTAAACCACTTCAATTTATAAATTGTTAGTGCTGAAGAAAACTTCAAGCTCATTTAATTCTACTTCCTCATTTTTTCATTTACCAGTAAGGAAAGTGTGGCCCAGAGAGGTTTCACACTGAATGATTGCCCAGGGTCATACTCAACTCCAGGTGTCCTGCTTCCCTGTTCATTACCATTCCCAATGTATGATGCTGCCACTGATTCTCTTTTTCCTTTGAAGTAATGACATCATGTGTTTTATAAAAATGATACCTACTTATCTTAAATAATTAATACAGCTAAGTATAGAAACAAACAACTACTCACCCTAAATCTTCCATTCAGAAAAATATCTGTGTTGACATTTAATCCAGTGTTATTCTAGACATCTCTCCTTGCATGTATAAAAAGACAGGTGGGTGAATTGTTGTTGTTGTTAAGTGCCCTTGAGTCAGTTCTGACTCGTAGCGACCCTATGTACAACAGAACGAAACACTGCCCGGTTCTGCACCATCCTCACGATCGTTGTTACGCTTGAGCCCATTGTTGCAGCCACTGTGTCAGTCCATCTCATTGAGGATCTTCCTCTCTTTTGTTGACCCTCTACTTTACCAAGCATGATGTCCTTCTCCAGGGACTGGTCCTTCCTGATTGTGTCTAAAGTATGTGAGATGAAATCTTGCTATCCTTGCTTCTAAGGACCATTCTGGCTGTACTTCTTCCAAGACAGATTCATTCATTCTTTTGGCAGTCCATGGCATATTCAGTATTCTCCACCAGCATCATAGTTCAAAGGCATCAATTCTTCTTCGGTCTTCCATATTCATTGTCCAGCTTTTGCATGCATATGAGGCGATTGAAAACACCATGGCTTGGATCAGGTGTACCTTAGTCTTCAAGGTGACATCTTTGCTTTTTAACACTTTAAAGAGATCTTTTGCAGCTGATTTGCCCAATGTAGTACATCGTTTGATTTCTTGACTGTTGCTTCCATGGGCGTTGATTGTGGATCCAAGTAAAATGAAATCTTTGACAACTTCAGTCTTTTCTCCGTTTATCATGATGTTGATTATTGGTCCGGTTGTAAAGATTTTTGTTTTCTTTATGTTGAGGGGCAATCCAGACTGAAGGCTGTAGTCTTTGACCTTCATCAGTAAGTGCTTCATAGGCACTGATGGTTGATCTAAGAACAATGATATCCTTGACAATTTCAATTTCTTTGCCGTTTATTATGATGTTGTTTATTGGTCCAGTTGTAAGGATTTTCATTTTCTTTATGATGAGGTGTAATCCATACTGAAGATTGTGGTCTTTGTTCTTCGTTAGTATGTGCTTCAAGTCTTCACTTTTGGCAAGCAAGGTTGTGTCATCTGCATATTGCAGGTTGTTAATGAGTCTTCCTCCAGTCCTGATGCTGCATTCTTCTTCATATAGTCCAGCTTCTCAGGTTATTTGCTTAGCATATAGATTGAATAAGTATGGTGAAAGGATATAACCCTGCTGCATATATTTTCCAATTTTAAACCAAGCAGTATCTCCTTGTTCTGTTCCAGTGACTGACTCTTGATATATATACAGGTTCCTCATGAACACAGTTAAGTATTCTGGAATTCCTATTCTTTGCAATGTTATGCATAATTTGTTATGATCCACATAGTCGAATGCCTTTGCATAGTCAGTAAAGCACAGGTAAACATCTTTCCAGTATTCTCTGCTTTCAGCCAAGATCCATCTGATACCAGCAATGATATCCTTTGTTCCATGTCCTCTTCTGAATCCGGCTTGAATTTCTGGCAGTTCACTATCGATGTATGGCTGCAGCTGTTTTTGATTTATCATCAGCAAAATTTTGCTTGTATGTGATATTAATGATATTGTTTGATAATTTCCACATTCCGTTGGATAACATTTCTTTGAAATGGCCATGATTATGGACCTCTTCCAGTCAGTTGGCCAGGTAGCTGTCATCCAAATTTCTTGGCATAGATGATTGAGTGCTTCCAGCATTGCATCTGTTTGTTGAAGCATCTCAACTGGTATTTTGTCATTTCCTGTAGCCTTGTTTTTCACCAGTGCCTTCAGTGCAGCTTGGACCCCTTCCTTCATTACCATGTGTTCTTCGTCATATGCTACCTCCTGAAATGTTTTAATGTCTACAAATTCTTTTTGGTATTGTAACTTTGTGTATTCCTTTAATCTTCTTTTGATGCTTCCTGCATCAATAAATTTATTACCCATAGAATCCTTAAATATTGTAACTCAAAGCTTGAATCTTTTCCTCAATTCTTCCAGTTTGAGAAATGCTAAGTGTGTTCTTTCCTTTTGGTTTTCTATCTCCAGGTCTTTGCTACATTTCATTATAATGCTTTATTTAGTCTTCTCGAGGCACCCTTTGAAATCTTCTGTTCACTCTTTTACTTCATCATTTCTTCCATTCACTTTAGCTGCTCTTTGGTCAAGAGCAAGTTTCATAGGAGAAATGAAGTCTTGATATGTGCCACCATATGAATGGAGCTGGAAGACATTATGTTGAGTAAAATAAGTCAATCACAAAAGGACAAATATTATATGACCTCACTTATATAAAAGGACTAGAAAAGGCAAAAATGTACAGAGAACAGAGTTTGTGGTTACAAGGGGAGGGAGGGAGGGGAAATGGAGGTTAACGGTGATGGAAATAGCACGTAGATTAAGGGTAGGCTTGCACAGCCGATTATTGTAGTTGCTGCCAATAAGTTGTACACCTGTAAAAAGTTGAATTGGCAAAAGATGTGTGATAGATATATGCACAACAACAACAATAACAAAATAAGAGTAGCTGCTGAGGCTGCTTATATACAAACAAAAACCCCATGGTATTTGTTTTCTTGTTTTGGAGGTTTAGGGTCATAATTTTATGGGACATCCTAGTTAACTGGTGTAATAACGTATTTAGTGCCTTTGTTCTACCTCTTAGTTTGACACGTATCACCTGTGGTCTTAAAAGCTTGCATGCCACCATCCAAGGCACGACAATTGGTCTCTTTTTGCCTAGAACAGTAGAGGAAGAAGGAGAGTCAGAAACAGGAGAAGGATATGGAATGTGTAGCTAATTGCCTCCATGAACAACTGCCTCTTTTGCCAGGAGACTAGAAGAACTGGATGGTACCTGGCTGCCAATGCTGAACATTTTGATCAAAGATTCTATAGAAGGATCCTGATCAAAAGGGGAAAAATGTAGAACAGAATGCAAAATGCTCATGGACTCCAGAGACTTCCTGGAGCCATAAAGGTTGGATGAACCCCTGAATTTATTGCCCTGAGATAATCTTCAAACCCTAAACCAAAAATATCCCCTGAAGTCTTCTTAAAACCAAACGATCGTTTAGCTTAACTCTAAAAAAAAGTCTACCTTGAGCATTATGCTCTTTTTATTTCCCTCAGAAGCTCTTTTATTTTTTTATTGTTTAGTTGAAGTAAAGTTTACATTTCAAGTTAGTCTCCCATACAAAAATTTATACACTGTTATGTGACCCTAATTGTTCTCCCCACACTGTGACAGCACACTCCTACTTTCCACCCCTGATTCCCCATGTACATTCAACCAGCTCCTAACCCTCTCTGCCTTCCCATCTCACCTCCAGACAGAAGCTGCCCATTTAGTCTCTTCTGTATACTTGAGCTGAGAGGCACGCTCCTCACGAGTATCACTTTATGTCCCACAGTCCAGTCCAATCCCTGTCTGAAGAGTTGGGCTTGGAAATTGTTTTAGTT